CAGAAAAAAAAAAAAAAAAAAAAGAACCAGCCGGTAAAGTTGAACACCCGGGACAGAAGTACAAGTCAATCTGTTCTGACTGCCAATCCCAGTCTACCCTGAGCTCTTCTGAAGCTGTCAACAGGCCATCAAAAGGTGGCTGCAGCAGAACAGATGATTTTTAGGACATGGGAAGAGTCGCAAAGCAGAGCTAGACAGGAAATCAGGTTACGGTACTGGCCACAGTTTCAACAGATATAGATGATGGGGCCATGACACATACAGCAGGCAGGAGATACCACTGACTCACTGGCCAGGCACTGCATAGAGGCATGGCCAAACTAGGCTTAACGAAAGAGGAAGACCTGCAAAGCAACAGTCATTCCTGCAGATGCTCTGGGATTTGAAGAAGTCATGGACTGTCTTGGCTGTCTACTAACAACTCTACTGAGATCACCAACTCAGATGAATAAGCACATCTTAATATGCCAAACAGAAGACCACCTTACTTCTGTCTTCTACAAAGACAGACATAAAAAGGCCTAAACGTGACCACTCATCTAGAGACTGGGTATTCATAATCATTCTGAAACAGCAGGCTTCAACCGGTGATGTGCACTCCGCAGTATGGCATGCCAACGTGAAAGGTGAAGCCCTTCACAGCACCCCTGCATCTCAAACGCAGCGAGAGGCGGTACCTGGCAGCAAATGGATAATATTCTATGGTTTTCCTCCTCCAAGTCCCAGCAGAAAGGACAGGTAAAAGATAGGAAACACCTGTGTTTAATTTTCTCTTCTATTTTTTTTTCCCCCAGTGAAAAACATACAGAAACATTCAACGTCTAAGAGTTCAGACCAGGTTCTTGTTATTCTCCCCTGCCCATATGAGAAGGTTAAATGCAGTCACCGAACTCTGCATACCACCCTCAGTCACGAAGAACCCTCTGGCACAGCTCCCAGACCAGTAAAACCCAACCATTTCAGGCCCCAAAGCATGGAGCCTGATCCATTTAGGCAAAACAAGTTCTACAGACAGCTGGTTTTCTTAGCATATTCACGTCCTCGTATTTATCAGAGAAAAGCCCTCCAGGACAACAGTGTTTACTGCAGGATTATTTGTGTGAATCCAGGGAACACAGAATTCACTGAGCAACAGTGTTTCCACCCTTATATCTTTTTTTCTTAAAATGTGAGCCAAGACGAACCCATTTTTATTTTCTTTAGCATGGAAGGAAAAAAAAATACATACATTAAATTTTTTTCTTTTTGAATGATGGATATTTTTATTACCTTCCATATGAATATCTATTATACTTACACTAGAAAGATAATTTTGAGCAAGCAAGATGCTTTGTACTGACAGGTTTAGAGACATTACGAATAACGCACAGAAATGCCACAGAGACATAAAGGGTAAATATCGCAGCAGCTCCTCGCTGTGCAGAGGAGTGCAGAAGCAGCCTCATAATATGTCTGTGCCTTCCTAGCAGCAGGAGGTCAGGTGGGTGACCTGACCTGACCAAGCGAGAGGCCTCAGGTACTGACACTGCTCAGCTCTCTGACCCTGGCCCCAAAGCACAGCAGCCGTCAGCGGCAGATGAAGAGCATCCCGCGGCCAGTCCCATGCCCCGAGGTGGGAGGAGGAGCAGGACGGGCTGGGGACACACGCTCACGGATGCTGATGAGCACCATCCTCTCAAGTTGGGTGGTCAGTCTGTGGGGTTTCCCAGCTTACCACTTCCTCCAGAAGTGTGCAGAAACTTGTTTTTATGATACTATGGTTATGATGGTAGTTTTTAAACAAAACACATTATCATAAATACCCCACGTTTCATTTTAACTCAATCTATTTTTTTAAATCATTAAAAGCTACTGTTACTGGCATCTATCTGCTTATTGATGCAGTGCAATAAAGAATAAGAAGAATTCTTAAAATTATCAAGTGAAAGCTTTTTTTAAGTGATTCATTTCAAATTAAGGAAACATTAACTAGAAATTGCTGGGAATGTGTTTTGAACAATTAGTACTTAAAGGAATGTTTTTAAATTACCAAGTTTTAATGAAAGAATTAAACCAGGTATAGTTATGAATAATTACTGCTGAGATTTTTATAAATTAACACTTAATGCCTCCTATCCCTAAGTGTGGGGTTGTTTTTTTACTGTAAGAACAAGACTTGACACTCTTGCAGCCAGGCACCTCACCATGCAAGTCAATGGAACACCGATATTGACTCAGATGAGCCACAATACTTCTCCACTGCATTTTTACCCCCTGCTTTAAAGCCAACCAATGTACTACTGTCTTAGCCCCAAAGCATAAAAAGTGGACCTTTCCCTCATTTTGCAAATCTCTCTTCCAGAGTCTATGACAAAGAACGGCCAAAGCCTTCCTAGTATTATGTTTACCATCCATCTAAAAATAGAGCAAATGTGCTTTACAATAACCCTTCAAAGCAAAAATACTGTATTCATATTACTAGGGCCTAAATTCGCTGACAAGATCTGTGGGTATGTATCATTTTTAGAAAATGCTATGTGGGAATGCATGTTTATATGGTAGAACACAAAAGCAATGAAACCTCTTGGGAAAGCAGGAGATAACTCACGTTACACAAACAGGCCCTTTGCTCTTCTTTCTCTACAAAGCTGAAACATTTCTATCTGAAAATGTTTTTTCGTATGTCAGGAAAATGCTATTCCTGTTTGCTTGTTCTTCCTAAGGTGAACAGAGTTTAGTATTAGCAAAATAATTGTGGGAATTTGGTATTTTTCCTGTTTTGTTGAGTACTTGGGAATGTTATGTTGGGAACTGTCAACTACTACTTACTCCACCTCAAAATCTGCTGCATAAATACACTGGTAATTTGCTTACATGGCTTTTGTAAATGCAATCACTGTTAGCAGCAGGAAAGAACTTTTATAAGCAGAACACAATTCAAATGTAACATGCCATGGCCTCAAGTCATTAAACTAATCCTCAGGGCTTCTTGAGGCTTTTTGTACTTTTGGCAAAAAGTATAAAGAAGTACGCATTGTTGCTTCAGTTTCCAAACATTGGAAAGTTAAATATCTAGACTGTCAGCCTCTGCTAAACAGAGCAGAGATTGGTTTTGGGAAAGAACAAGAGACAAATTTATCTTTGTTATTAAAGCGCAATCAAACATTGAAAACATACCCATACGTTTTTTTTATGGCATATAAAAAGTAGCCAGGAGAATAAAGGAAAGCGCAACAGCTCACAAGCAGTGGTGGTATTATGGGTTACCAGTATCTAGACGCTGCGATGAATACCTTATAAATGCACAAGGATAGACTGAGTTAGGTGAGTGAAGTATCTCAACTTTGATACACAGATAACGTGACAAGGTGTGGCACAGAACTCCAGGGTTTACTGGCATGATTTTAACATGACTACATAAGCCATAAATGACAAAGCCATAAATATGTCAGACATGTCAGATACGCACTAACACCACCCAAATATCTTTCTGCTATATTGCTCTACATCACACATCTCAAATCAGATGTTCTTTAGGGCACTCTCAGAAAACGCAATACTTTTAGGAAGACAAAGTGTTCCTTTGTATTGCTATTCCACTTGGTATCAAGAGGTTAACGTCTTTCTGAAGGTACTATTGAAAGTGGGGAAATAAACAATGTATTCATCAGCACATGGGTCATTTAGACAGACATACCTGGGTGGCCTGAAATACACTTAAGAATCAACATGTGACTAGAGCTCAAAATACAATGGAAACTAGTGGCAGCCCATTTGCCTTTAACAGCAGCTGAGCAGAAGAATCCTTTGGAACATGGAAGGATAATTACATATTTAACTACAATTTTTCCCTCAACTAATGTTGACAAAAAGTAGTGAATTGATGAAAAAATATGAAAATGTAAAAGCTGCTAAATCTATTGTGTGTGTGTTTGCACATGCATGTGTAACCTACATTTTCTTAAATAAAATATCTGGGAAGTCTTATGCCTTTATTCAAATCAAATCTTGCGTTTTTTTGGGTTTTTTTTTTTTTTTTTTTTTTTTAAATTGCATCCAACAGTTTATCCAGACCAATGCCCTGTTGAGCAAAATGTCAAGATACCATGTTCCTTCACTCACACAAACTTTATCACTGAGTTGTTATAAAACTGTGGTAGTCAGTATTTCCCATCTTTTCTTCTCTACCCAGAAATGCCATCACCAGTTCAGAGGAAAGTCACTCCAGTATTAACCAGAAAAACAAAGCATCACTGAAACAACGCTAGCCCAGCCTGACTGTGGTATATCTGAACAGTCTAATGTAGTTACTTTTTTGAAGCAGACATTAAAAGACTGAGATACTGAAGGGAAGGAGGAGCATTAAGACATTCTTAATTCCAGAAATGGAAGAGGAGAAATTGAATGAAAGCAGACTGATTTCTAATCCTCACCCTTCCATTTTAGGAGTAGAAATCCATTTCTCAGCAAATCGGTTTGCCAACTGGTAAACAGATCAGTAAGGTTCAACAATCTTAAAATGAAATATTCAGATATTCTTCCGAAAAAAGTAACTTAAAGCTGCAAATTCCTAAAACACAGTTAATAAAGCCCTTTATCTTCTACAACAATATTTTATTCAAATGTATTATGTTTATACAGAGAACTTACCTTCCCAGAAGAAAGAGAAATTAAAGATTCCCCCACAAAAAAAGCTATACTGTAGGAGGCCCTCAAAATACACTGCTACAGGAAAACACAGCATAGTTTTCATAGATTATGATGCTACAAGAATATCACAGGTAGCCAGTGATGACTTTTCTTCATCCATATGTGATCCAGCCATTGATACAGAACTAGCTGAAAGGAGATCTGTCATTTCTCCACCACACACACACTTGCAGCAACCATTACGACTTTAAGCAATTTAAAACAATAGCATGTTATCAGCTAGCCAACATTTCTCACTTATATCAGGAAAAAATTGAAAAGTTCAGAGATAATACAGAAAGAACACTCCAGAAAAAAACTGTCTCACTCACTGTTCAATACGCGGGGAGAGATACAGCTTAGGAAAAACCTGAGTAGCTTCTGCATCCTCAAAACTAACGGAGAGAAGTGCAACATCTTCTCCAGGATCTTCATTCACATCCTGTATGTAAAAAATAATAAATATAAAATGGCAAATAACAAACTGAGTACTTAAAAGCTTACAGATAACAACTAGTAAGTCGAATACTAATTTATTTAGGAGACACTTAAGTGAGGAATCTAAAATGTAACTGTTGAAAAATAGGTTGCAAATTTATTCTTTCTTACTATATTAGTACTTAAAAGATATTCTGCCGTGCCTAATTTCTTTTAAAGTATCAAAATAAAATAACTGTGTTAGCAAGTGTATGGTAGTGTAGCTCTTCTTCAATTAGCTGAACTACATACCTGAGTAAAGATGCAGATTTCATTTTTAAGAATTCTTGGTTTAAACAGTAACACCAGATGCAAATGCCAAAGAATTTTTTTTAAATGTTATATCATCACTGAGTTATGGCTGCAGATTTTATATTTATTATTTTTTAAAGTAGTATATTGTCCAAAATTTCTGCTGTACTCAATTCCTACTTCTCCTGTGGATGAAAAACGTTTTTGCGATCAGAAATTTGTATCTAGAAGTCACTGACCCCAAGTTTCCTGCAAATTAAACCCATGCATTACTTTCAGCAAAGACTGCATACTCTATAAAAACTACTGCAAGAAAAAAAAAAATCCATGCTAAATACCACGGCAGTCAATCTTAATGTATTCACAGTTTAAGCTTTCTTTGTATCAGAACAATCAGCTACAGTTTTGGGATCAGGTAGAACAAATTGTTTCTGGTTAGAACCTGACATCTCTCCAATTCATAAATCACATATAGTACGAACAAATGTATTTCTGCTGCACACAACTTCATTTAAGCTCGTGACCTCTAGTTAGAAAGCAATGAGTTGGCAGTGCAGTCACCTTCATCGACGGCAAGTAATACGGTGCCACTTGCTGTTCACAAAGGAGTCCTTTAACATGTTTGTGCATATGTACATAGCAACTTGCCAAGATGCATTTGTTTTTATCCGTTTTGGAAACATACAAGAGGAAATAGATAACCCAGCAGATATGTGCTTAAAGCAGGATCAACATGGTGCAGTGTGCCCTGGTATGCTCTGTCCCACAAGCAGCTGTGAGGAAGGAACATGCAAACCACTTAAACATTGTGAGGAGATCCTGCCCTATCTGGGGAGAAAAAGTGACTGCTGAGTGGTTTCAGGAAGACAATCTCGTGCCATTTGAAGCTTTGGCAGGACCGAAACTGTTAACGTCCAGAAGGACTAGCTGCATACCAGCTATTACGTGCAGAACACAACATGCCAAGAAACTTAGTGATAAGCTGCAGGGAAGAATGGGTCTTAAAAAAGCCTAATTGTCTTAGATGAAAAATGAGACAGAGCTGACAGTGTTTTCTTAAATTCTGCCTTGGTGTGCAGCTCACTTCTGACAGCTGAAAGAAAAGCGTACTCTTAGAAATGCCTATAAAATGGTCACGAGCACGCTTAGGCTGGAAATGAGAACATGGTTTTAACCTGAAGTTGCAGGACAACGCTCCATAGGAGTGGTGAGGACAAAAGCTAGCTGCTGTCCTGTTGGGGTAGGATCAGTTTATGGACAGGACTATATGACATGGTTGCCTGAACAGCAATGGACAGGACCTCGTGACCCACAGCGTTCCCTTCACTGCTATGTTTCCAAGAGGTACTCTCATCTACAGTAGAAGAACCAGCACAGATTACAAAACCTTTTTCAGTGAGACAAACAACAACAAAAAATACCCAAGAGTGAAATCGCCCTGCAACCTTTTCCCCAGTATTTCACATATTTCCATCATTAAGGAAAAAATTAAATAAGGAACAGCTTTCAATCCTGAAGCTGAGTATGGCATTAACTGGCTTTTTCCCATTAATTTGCTAATTGTCAATCAAATGAAAAGAACTACTAAGACAGATTAAGCAGTAATGCTAATGATTAAAAAGATTTTATTTTAATGGGCATTCTTCAAGAGATGACAAGTACATATAATACATTCACTCGTGTACGTATATAGTTCTTCCGAGACCATATTCTTTTGTTAGTAATTCTTTTCAAATAATTTGTTTTTACAGAATGGGACCTACATGGATTTTAATATGGTCTTGTACATAAGCTACATGGACAAAACCAAACGTATTTAATCTTGCATTTAATATTAGTGCTTAAGTTGATATGCACACACAGATTGACAACATGCATAAGAGCACTCTCTAGAATACCATCCAGGTGCCTACTGATCAAAGAAAATCAAAACAAGAAAAAAAAAACCACAACTCAAAACAGAATAGGCGAACACTACTACAGCATCCATTAACCCATACAGTAACATTACATTTTCTACACTCACTAGTGGCTTCTTTAATATGAAGACACATGCCAGGGGAAAAAACAAAACAAAACACACAACAACAACATAAATCATCACTGTACCTTTGCATGTTAAGCTGCAATAAGCTGACGGGTGTAGTAAGAGCAATAAACTCAGATGTGGTATTTTTCATTTACAAAAATAACACACAACAAACACTACTGTAACTACTGTTGCCAGCACAGCACTGCATTACATTCACAGAGCTACTGTCCAATGCAAGTTTGAGTACAGAAACTGGCATTCTTCTGTAACTACCACTTTTCAAATGGATGCATTTTTTGGCCCACATACCTGGGAAATGAAAACTGTAACTTAAAAAAGATGCAAAAAATCAGCATTCCTGTACGTTTTAAAAAGATGTAATGCAGTAACACCACAAAGTTGCTCAACCTTATTGCTCAGGTGGCCACAGATTTACGATGAAGTCCTTTTGTATCCGACACCACACTGTTTATTCCTTTCAGACTTTGTTACTTTTATTTATGCAAGAATCTGCTTGGTGGAACTGCATTCAACCCTAGTATGTCTGTTACAACTGCCACTTATAAAACTAAATCAAAACCACGTCTTACACATAAACTGTGGAAAGCTTTTCAACTAATAGACTTTTTTGATGTTGTCTGTGCCAGTCACAACTTAACTCCTTCAGTGATCTATCTCCTGGTCATCTCTACAAACCTGTTGGTGACTACGTAAGACGATGGATCCTTACATTACCAGGCAATGATATTTCCCCAGAACAGGGGCTAAGATCCTTCCATTACACCAAAGAGTCCAAAGGCAAAGGTGGTTTTAATGCTCATCAAACTCTGCCCAGGCAGTGTCTTCCCCTTTCCCATTTCTGCATGCGTATTTCTCTCAAAGAACAAACCAGATTTAAACAGAGCAGCAAAGCAAAAATCAGCTCTATTTTTATTTTTCAGTTGGCTTCAAAAGAGAAGGTGACATCCAATTGCTTTGGCAATATTATTCCCTTTTAGGAAAAAAAAGATGCTGTTGAACTAAAGTCCAACACCTTTTTTTAGTATCTAAGTAGCCATGTCCTTTCTCATAATTTGTATTTAACTCACAACACTTAATGTTAGAGGATTTTATTAAAAAATAATTTTATATTTAAGAAAAACTGATTTTGTAAAAATTAAGAACGGCAATTTTCTGTAAACATTAGCATCCAAGGTTAGAACTGCCACATTAAAGTACCATTTTACACTCACAGAATTTTTTCCACACAAGACTCTACAGAAGGTATTATTAAAATCAACTTCCCCTGAATGGAGAGCACATCCTGGGCCACAGGAATTTTGATGTTTAAAAACTGAATGTTTGTAAAAATGTTTGAAAGCATTAGTTAACCACGTGATAATGCACACCTATTAGTTTTTCCACAACAGTCTCGTGCTTGATAGTAAAAAACCCCAAACCTCTAGCACACTGCAACGTAAAAGATCCAACATAGATTTTCATGGCGTCTTTCTGCCATCTTGCTATCACGTATTTCTTTTCTAAAAAATAATCTTTTCCTCATTTCAGAAAATGCCCATTCAAGTCAAACAGGAAAAAAATGGATACACCATTTAAGATTGAAAATAAATAGTTTTCTTTCTCCAGAACTGCAAGGGGTTTCCTATGTTTAGAGAATACTTTGCACAGTGTGGACTGATCCTTGATTAAAGCTCCAAAGTGCTATGGAAATACAAAATATACAGAGTAAAGCAATGTGGTGAGAAAGGAACAAAATAAAAAAAACTGAAGATTTTCAACCCATAGGCTTTTTTCTATTGCAGAGACCTTCTAGCAATGACTTACAAGAATAAATAAAACTTTTCACAAAGAAAAGCATAAAGAGAAAGCTCATAGTATTTTATTCTGATGTACCCTTTGTCTACTTTGCCAGTGCAGATGAAAGGTTCATTAAGTATGTATTTTTGAAACTCAAGAACAAGAGGCCATGTGAAAATACAAATGCAGCACAGAACATGGAAGTCTGAAGCCATTTAGAAGTTTTTTTTCCCCCAAAAAAATACAGGAAAAGACTTCGGGTATCACAAGACTCTGAAGTAAAACTTGAAATCCTACTTCTAATTGTATCAGCACTGTCTAAACAACCATTTGTTAGTTTTCATTCATATCAGTCTAAATTTACACTCAAATGCATGCTTCAATGTTTACAGCTGCTCCCTTTGAAAAATACTTAATCTTTTTACAAAGTTATTATGAGTTATTTATGAAAATTATCATCAAAACCACTTTAAATACACCATCCAAACGGCATTGTTTTCTCGTATCCTACCTACTGTAATTGAAAACTGGGAATTTACTGGAACTGACAATTTATTATGAGTCAGATGGTTGATAGCCAGTCCAACCAAAACATCTGCTCCGCACAGTCACAACTGCTATAACCCATTTCCTCTTGTGCCTGGAGTCCAACCAAGTTGTACATTACAGTTCCTTTTCCTTAAAGATGCAGAATCTGGAAAATCAGTTATTACCTTTTCTCAGTTATCAACAAAGAATCGCCTTGCAACCTCTGATTAGAGTATTCTTTCAAAAGGAGGTATTTCTCTATTTGGCGTGCAACGCATGAAGTGGTAAGCGACTGCAGGCTTACCCCAGGCAGTGGCAGGACCTGCCTTTCCATGGAAGACTTGAAAGGCAGGGGG